GCATGAATATGCATGATATAGTTAGAAAACCAAACCTCATTTTCGAAGCCAGTGAGCCGTGAGGGCTTTTGTCTGGACAGGCTCAGACAGTAGCCAAGTCGATCAGAATCAGCCGTCAATCCCCCAAAAAACAATTATCCTGTTTGTTCTTGATTATCATTTTCACCATGTGAAAGATTATAAGTGATTATCACAGCTTCTAGTTCGTAATTAGGTTATCGACGAGTCTCCATAACGGAAACAAATAAGGTGAGACTTCAATCAATGAATTAGTGTCGCACCTTTGCGCCAATCGTCTTGTTTATATACTGGCCACATATAGAAACTGTGCACACAGAAAATATAACGATAGGCAGACAGGGTCTTTATGCATAAATAAAGGTGTGAACATAGCAAGTATTGGAGACAATCAACGCTCATGCAGGTGCCAGGCGACGTGACGTCATTGATGGTGGCATATGGACTTGCAATGTGTTACTGCACGTGCAGCCTGTGCAGCTGCACACATGTGAAACTCAGAAATTGCTGTCACTGTCGAATGCTTGATCTTTGGTCATTCAAACATTCACAAATTCACATGAGAAGTCACATGCACATCATGCCAAGATTAAGATCTGCTCAACGTCATGAAGCCATTGGAATGGTTCGAGCAGGCATGAGACAACAACAGGTGGCAGCACATTTCCAATGCCATTGTAACACGATATCTGCATTGGTCAGGCGTTAGGGAAACAGTAATGACGTCGCCGACCACCCACGTTCTGGGCGTCCCCGAGTAACGACGCCAAGACAGGACAGATGGATTCGGGTGACTGATATGAGACACAGGTTCCAGACGGCAGTGACCACGTCCAAAACCATTTCCCAGGCCTTCATTTGAAAAATTTTGTAGCCTCTATGCGTCGTCGATGCACTGCTGTGCTTCACGCGCATGATGGTCATACCCGTTATTGACTTTGTGACTTCGACGTGTGACCCCCCTACTCAATTTTGAACTTCTGACGTCATCGTTACGGATATTGTTCATGTTCTTTTGACATGTTGTTGAGGCCCGATACTTCAGCTTATAAAGTGTCTACATCATGTCGTCTTTTCTGTGTTGTATTCCAATTCTGAAGGAATTTTCTGTGTGCACAGTTTCTTTATGTGGCTAGTATATATGTTACAGGGAATGTATGAAACCAGGGATTTCACGTCTTACCTGAAAGAGTCAGTGATTTCATGAAATCACTGTGACCCCCAGGGATTTCATGTACATGTATTCCCTAAAATTTCCAGGGATTTCATGAAATTATTGAAATTTTAGCTCAGTGATTTCATGAAATCCCTGTAAGCCCTTATTGAAATAGAGAACACCAAATTTATAATGCGAGTACAGAGTATTTCCTGATAACATTTATTTGTTGGGACAAGATAGAGTGTTATCATACAAGCTATTACACTTCAGTAGCACTTTAAAACATTTACAACGTATTGATTTACACTGGTTAGGACAACAGTTACATTTCTGGAAACCCTGACCACCACAATTCGACTCGAAAATCACAGCTGTGTGGAGAAACAGTTCTTTGTCCATTGTCACATCATTCGTAGAAAGAAGGCGCTGAGGACAAACATGAAATATATGGTTTGAAAATACCTTTTCCTTCCCAAACCCATATCCCAAAGCTCTTCTTCAACAGCGGGATGATGTATATTCCAAGTTATTTCTATGAATGGTCTAGTCTGTTTAAACTTAAACGTCTATTTTCAATAAAGAAAACAAAATGTTTGAAAAACCTCGCTAATTTTTTAAATGCTATATCACAGTAAAATGTTGAGCCATTCCGTACGGAATTATGAGAGACACTTGTGCCACAATATACAGAGTATAATATATGAATATTAAAAATGCAATAATAAGGGTACAAGTTACATTAAGAAGATATATACAAATTTGCAGTACGCTTTTTAAGAATATTAAGGCAGGTTTTGGCAGATAAAAACGATACACCTGGACAAGCTAGAAGAAAACTAACTTTTCAACATACCCAGATTTAAAAAAAAAACATCTAAAAGACTTGTACATTTAGATAAAAGTTGCAATCGCTCATCAGCATACAAAGGACAATGCAATAAAACATGACACTCATCTTCAATAAAATCTTTACAGTTTCGATTCTAAGCGGCGCTACCGCACATCTAAACAAAGCTATTGCTTTTCTCATAGAGCGAGACATTACAATTAACATAAAAATCACTGCAAAAATCCACCTTTAAAGTACAGTACGTGTGTAACTTATTACCTCCCCTACCAGTTAAACTACCAACTTGTAAAAGGTCCTGTTTCCATTTATAAACGAAATCGCTAAAAACAACGTCTGTAACTTTTGAAACTACAAAAGGAATATTGATTAAATTATTAATCATAACAATAAGATGCACTAGTGTGATGCTGCGATAAGACATTGGGTCTCTCAGGTTGTCAGCTCCAGACTTAGGGTAAGGGTAATGATCCCCTGGGCCCAGTTGGAGGGTACATGACCATGTAGAAAACGTTTAATGAAGATAATCTATACAGATGTCATTTGTCAAAACATCAACTGGAATATTATCGAAACCCGATAATTTCCCTCTCTTAGCTTGATTTAGTGTCATCAGTAAATAGTCAAAGTTTTCAACTCCTAACACCTAAGGGATGAAATGAGACTAAACAGTAAAGCCGTGAGAAAATTAACTTGGTATCCCGACTCAAGGTAGTAATCAGCCAAAAGTGTCATCGGTAAATTGTCAAAGTTTTCAACTCCAAAGAACTAAGGGATGAAATGATACTCAACAGTAAAGTTTTATGCTACAGACATTCATTTCACACATTCACTGATATTCTAACAGGGAATGTGTGTAATGGAACACCAATAAAATCAGTAATTTCATGAAATCCCTGGACATTTTAGGGAATACATGAAATCCCTGGGGGTCACAGTGATTTCGTGAAATACCTGGTTTCACACATTCCCTGTAACATATACAATTATTGGCTAGCGGGACTGGTTCCTGCTCAGGACTTACACCCACTGATTTTTCATTAAACCGATACTGGGATCTTGTGCGGCACGTTCTCGAAATCAGTCATGCACGTGTCGCGCTTTATCCGGAGTAGAAGGTGAGGTGAGGTGAAATTGGGTTTTACGTCGTGCTTGAGAATATTTCGCTCGTATGACGACGTGCATGCGTGTGTATGTGTATGTGCGGCTGCTTGTGCTAGCCCAGACTGAAGCTGGTTTTATAGTGCTAGCCCACTGAGATACCATGTCGCAGTGAAGGATGAATACCCCACTCAGACACATTATACTGACTCCGAGCCGACCAGTCCTTGTTGTACCAATTAATGCCGAGCGCAAGGCAGGAACCAACAAGTACCATATTTTAACATCTTTTGGTATGACGCGGTCGGGGATCGAACCCGCGACCTTCCGCTCTCCGGGCGGACGCTCTAACCACTACACCACGGAGGCGGTCAGGAGTAGAAGGGGTCGGGTCAAAAGCAAAGAGTATATATTTCAGGATTAGACATATTGGGATTGTTTCATAAAATAGCCTTCTACGTGATGTACGTTACAGTCTATATCTTCGTGTCATTCATTATCATATTCATTTACAAATACACTGTCAAAATGATACCCGTGAAGATCTGGGGGAGACTTGGTCTTCAGGAAGTGTTGCTTGTCGTAAAAGTCGACTAACGGGTATTCAGGCTCGCTGTCTTGGTTTATCGATGCTCATGATGTTAATCACTGGATTGTCTGGTCCATTGTCTGGACTCGTTTATTTACTCGTCATATAGATGGCCTATTACAACGTTAAACTACAAATAAACAAACCCTTAAAATGTTCATACATGTGTATTTGGCATTCGTGTTTTAAACAGATATTGAGAGCCTTGCGAACTTCGTCCTCAAGGCATAACATGTCCTTAGATTGTCTAAATATTTCTTCTACTGCATACATCCATTTGTGCCGTACACATTTCAGTTATGCATAGGCGGATGAAGTGTGCACCCCCCAGGTGTGTGTCATATCCGGGTTAGAAGTGGTCTTCAGCAACCCATGCTTGTAGAAGTCGACTAATGAAATTGGGTGGTCAGGTTCGCTGACTTGGTTGACACATGTCACCATATCCCAATTGTGTAGATCGATGCTCATGATGTTGATCACTGGATCACTATTTACAGACCGCCGCCATATAGCTGGAATATTGCTGAGTGCGGCGTTAAACAAACAAACAACCAACCGATCTTGAACTTTCTCAAAGCGTCGAATGCGTCATGTCGGAGCATATCTGTAGCACGTGTACGAAATTGTTGTAAAACATATTGGTACAATAAGAGATTGGTACAAAACTGAGGTCATGGTTACAAACATTGGTATATAATTGTGTTTTTGTTTGGTTTTATATTTGATAACATTTTACCAGGTGAAAAAGGTATAAATGGATGAGTAAAAATCGTTTGGTGTTTTTCAATCTCACCTTGAGAGGTATCCCATCAGAATGAATATCTGAGCTTAAGGAGAGTGCGATGGCAGTAAGGGCAGGATATTGTTTTGTGGAAGACAACTTTACTCGTTGTAGATGCTTGTAACTTTGTCAACCAAAAGTGTAACTGAGGATCTACAACGAAACATCTCATCACAACAGAATAAAGAAGTTGTCTTTCTTCATGTGAATTTTGAACCTTGATGGGAAACAGTGGTTGAAGCGTACATAAAATATAAATCACTTCCACTATAGAGATGACCAAAGGGAGACAATAAGGAACGATAGTACTTTCATTACGACATACAAGGTTGAAATTTCATAAGACAAACTTATAGATATTAAGCTATACCACGGAATTAGATTTTATACAGAATGTTATTTCATATATATCAAATTTACTTTATCATGCTATATTGATATAAGAACAATGAAAAATATCATAAACGAAAACATTGTGGAAAGACTATATGAGTACGTTGTACTGTTACATTTCAAGATGTCTGCGCCCTTGAAAAACTTGTGACAATGCCGTCTGCTAGTTTATGATATTGGAAAAGTGGGTATATTTTTATATTTTCCCTGATATCACACTGTTTCGATCGACAGTTGTACATATGTTCGCTAAACCTGAAACATTACATGATATATTCCAAAATATACGCCGTTTAGCTCAATTTAGCCAAGCATTCTGTAATGTTGAGTGTGTGGTGGAATGTTAGACCACTGCAAGAAGTTGTAGCGTAGGGTCACATTGGTTACCACTGGTTACTGAGATGCAAACTGTTGCAAGACGTTGTAGAGTGACAATAATTACTGTGATGCAGACTGGTTGTTCCCGCTATTTGTAGGTTGTTTGTAAATATTCATAAATTCATATGATAAGAATCTGGCAAACAATGAACTTCATAAATTTCTGATATGATAATTAATCTTCCCTATGGGTTTATTTATCTAAACAATAGCAACTGATAAGGAAAGCGTAGGTTTCTGGGGAAATGAATTATTATTAGTCTTCCCAATGGATTTATTTTTCTGGCTTGAATCTGTTTTTTCTCAATTATTGCATGAACAATTGTAAGTAAGCTATACTCTCAAAATCCATATTTTATACATTTTATGCATATATTGTCTAGTCAAATGCATCTATCCTTGTGTTATAGGTTTTGGATGTCTTTTTTACCGGACATCTGTTGTTGTACATTCACGTGACACAATAAACTATTTTGTCTGTCTGTCTGTCTGTAAAACATGTCACTTACTTAATAAAGATAACTTCATCTTAAACACAAACCATCATCAGAGCATTTACAATCTCTGTGACGTCCATCTTATTATTACAGGGAACGTAAACACTTCTGTCCAAAACTGTAAAACGTTCAGTGATTGGAAAGTCAGGGTCAGAAAAGGTCCCTTGTGATTGTTGGTTTAACTTTAAGTAGTAGAACTCTGGTGTGCCTGATAAAAACTCAATAATTTCAGGCTTCAGTTGTAGCTGAAATGCTGTTGACTAGGGCATATACAAACCCTTATTCCCTCACCATCCTCCTGTAACTTGTACTGTAAGCTGTATGCTTGCAATGCAATAATTGGTATGTTGATAAATGTATGTGGCAGTTTGTTCATATTGGAAAAAAAGAGTATTTATATATTCACCAGTTTAATATATTGTCTTTTCAGATATGGTTACTTAGCAGAGAAACAATGTCGTTTCCACAAGCAAGCAGACTTTTGTTTGCTGGTCCTATGCAGAAATGGCGCTTCATGTCATCATGGCAACAAATTATGCATTCGCAAAGGGTTGCAAGTATGTTGATACAGAAGCAGATACAAACAGCCAGGCCGTGCCAGTGGTGCCAGTCAGTTTACCTACATGACTCACCAGCTCTCCATGCTGCAAGGAAAGATAACTCTAAGAAAAAACTGGTGATTAGAACCCTTCCTGTATATTCTGCTTAGTTTCGTAGATTTGATTAATCTGTTGACATTTTCTTTCTGACATTAATTTAGAGTGATCTAGGTTAGAACTGGTTTTCATTGATCCATGCCTGTTGTGAGATGCTTTTATCAGGCAGGAGTGATTGGTCAGGCTTACTGGCATGGTTTATGCATGTCATTGTAGCCGAATTGCAAAGATGACATTCATGATATCAATCACTTGTTTGCCTAATCAAGACTAGATCATTTACGTTCTGCCTCCAAATAATTAAAAAGTGGTTAATTCCATGTCAAAACCAATGAAGAAACAAATAAGTAAAAGGACCTGTTATTTTTAGGCATCTTGCTTCCTTAGTGTTGTTACACATTGGAAGTACAAGAGATTTGTGTATTAGCATGTTTTGGTTGAACAGAAAAAGCATTTGTTATGTAGTACTGTTTAAAATGCTGATTCAGTAATCTTGGTAATGTGTAATAGTCATGTGACACAAAGGAAATGACCATTCACAGGTTAAAAGGTTTAAAGTGAACAACAAGGGTGTAAAGTTGAAGGTTGTCACTGTGTTTGATGGCATGACAGTGGAGGAGCTCGCCCAGGCCATGGACAGAGAGTGTGGTGAGTAACAGTTGTGGTAAACCAGCAAACTCTGGGGGTTCAGTATGTTTAGTGTTGTTCAGAATCATTGGACGTTGACGGCTTACACACCTGACTAATCTTTAGGGTTGGTGGGGTAGCCTAGTGGTTAAAGCATTTGCTCATCACGCCAAAGAACCCGAGTCAAATTTCCCAGATGGGTACAATGTGTGAAGCCCATTTCTGATGTCCCCTGCCATGATACTGCTGAAATATTGCTAAAAGCACGCAAAACTAAACTCACTTGCTCATTGAGTGAGTTAAGATGCATAGTAACATAGACAATATTTCAGCAGTATCATTGGATTGTCTGGTCCAGATTTGATTATTTACAGACCACTGCCATATAGCTGGAATATTGTTGAGCGCGGTGTTCAACAACAACCAACCAACCAATCTATGATAATCAAGTAAATTGTTTAGATTATGACATTTCAGGAATATCCATGGTAACAAGCTGAGAGTGTGTGAAACTTTCTGTTTTCTGTCCTCAGACCATGTGTTTGAAGTGCTGCTTTACACAAAAGGAGGGGATCGGTATGATCAAGAAACGTCAGGTATGTTGTAACCTGCAACCCAAAACTGCCTACCTGCAGTAGGTTTGTAATTTTGTAAGTCAGTAATGACGGGGCGGTGGGTTAGCCTAGTGGTTAAAGCGTTTGCTCGTCACACCGAAGGTCTTGGAATGATTCCCCACATTGGTACAATGTGAAGCCCATTTCTGGTGTCCCTTTCTGTTCGCCTTGATTTTGCTGGAATATTACTAAAAGCGGCGTAAAACACAATTCACTTACTCATCACGTAATGAAAATCTGTGTTAGAAAAATACTTGTGACTGTAACTGCGTGTTACTTTTGCCAATAGTCGTAGCCTAAGTCTAGTAAAATATCTTGGTGCAATGCATATGTGAGTCCATACATTCACTCTAACATCAAGTGACAGCTTCAGTCTGGCTGGAAGACTCAAAATGTTGTAGTGTAAAGCTATTTGGAATACTGCTCCAGCTGAAAAAGTAGAAACACAGGGTGCTCAAAGGGACATGTGTTACTGTTGTGTGAGGGGATTCCGTGTCAAAAGTAACTCATGCTTGTCATAAGCGTCAGCTGAAATGAGGAATGAGGACCATTTCCTCAAAGAAATCTTAGTGCTAAGGTGATGGTAAGCATCATATTTTATCATAGGCTACAGTCATCATAGCGCTAAGATCGCTTTGTGCAACAGGACAAAGGTGGAGAAATGTTTGATTCATCCCGGTGCAGACTAGTGGTAAATGCATGTTTGACCAATGTGTTCCTGTTTACCAATGTTCCTGTTCTTGTTCCAGTTATTGACGACCTCGACATCATTAAAGACATCATAAAGAGATCTGGGATGAAGTATCAGATGGGCAGCAGGGAGAAGAGGCTGAAGGCTGACATGAACAAGGACGTCATTCGACAGTATGTTCAGTCATGGACACAGAATTGAATTGCTTCTTGTTTAAAATCAGTGCAACATTTCGTCATGTACCTTTTATTCTATCAAGAAAGTTTCAGTGTCTAATACTGTACTGACATCTATTCTAATCTTCATATTAAAACAACAATAATATAGAGTGAAATCCATTTTAAGCTCTATCCCATGACTGTTTATCTCTTTATTGTTAGGAGCTGACTTTGTTTAGTGGATGTTATTTTTTTAATCTGTTCTGTTCTATACTGGACCAGTGAAGATCCGGGTTAGAATATTGGTCTTCAGTAACCCATGCTTGTCGTAAGAGGCGACTACCGGGATCTGGTGGTCAGGCTTGCTGAATTGGTTGACACATGTCATTGGTTCTCAGTTGCGCAGATCGATGCTCATGCTGTTGATCACTGGATTGTCTGGGCCAGACTTGATTATTTACAGACCGCCGCAATATAGCTTGAATATTGCTGAGTGCGGTGTAAAACTAAACTCACTCACTCACTGTTCTATACTGAAACTTCACACTGAAAGAATTAAAGGAGATAGTTATAAAGGTTTGATTTAATTTAATTTCTGTCTGAGAGAAGTTGTTTAGTTTACTTACAAACTGAAAGGAAACTGATATTTTTCAGCAATTTTATATTTCAAACATGCTTTCCATGAACTTGAGGAAGCATCCGTAAAATATCTCTTAAGGATGGATAACAATATATGTATGAAAATCTCTCTTGCTGGTGTGTATGTACTTGAGATCCTTAAATACATTGTGGATTATCAGCACATCGCCAGACGAGTGTTCACTCACTAGGCTACAGGTGTGACTGGTCTAGTGATATCTAAACTCTATTTTATGAAATGGAAGGACAAAGGTAGAGTGTTCTAAAGCTATAGTGAGCATCTAATAAAGTGAAAGTAAAACCTTTCCTTCATTTAATGAAGTTTTACACCTGTAGCTGTGATGTCCTGTTTATTCCAGGCCACCTCCGGACCCAGCTGAGATGGTCAGCAGACATCCTGTGGTGACCATCATGGGTCACGTGGATCATGGGAAGACAACTCTGCTGGACTCGCTGCGCAACTCGAAAATAGTGGAGCAGGAGTTTGGAGGTATCACTCAACACATTGGAACCTTTACAGGTGAGATTACATGGAGTGTATTATTCAGTAATCAGTGTTATGCAATGTTTGTTAAACGTGATAAAAATCACACATTTAAAATACTGTTTTTGTCCATGAGGAGTTTGGAAATTCATCTTCAGTCAGGTCTGACAATAAAAAAAACTTACCTGACTCCTGTATCTGTGCATTATGACCAAGAAAATTTGCATTGCAGAGTTGTGTCCCTTTGTCTACAATATTCCGTGTTATGACCACCCAAGAGCAAATGATACTTAATTGTAATAAAGTAACTTTCAGATTAAGAAATTCCTTAATATAATTTTAGTAAATTTATGATAATTTATATGAATCCACAAATGTATAATCTTCACAATTAACATATTAACTATTGAGGAAAGTATGTATACTTGATATAATTTCGGTTAATTAATCATAGTTATAAATCCACAAATATATAGTCTTCACTAATAACATAGTAACTATTGAGGAAAGTATTTATTCATAGTTTAGACAAACCACATTTCCAGCAAACAAACTCCAGCAGCCTACCCCGTCTGCTCACAATCCACTATTCAATCCATATCCTCCCACCTTCTACAGTGTTGTAAATGTCTGTTCCTAATTTCTGTATTAATAATCTTTAAAAGGAGGCAATAAAGATGATGCTGACTGTTTGTTTCAGTGAAACTTTCAACAGGTGAGTCCATCACGTTCCTGGATACCCCCGGACATGCTGCCTTCTCCTCGATGCGAGCCAGGGGGGCGAGAGTGACGGACATCATCATCCTGGTGGTCGCTGCAGATGATGGAGTCATGAACCAGACCAAGGAGTCCATACAACATGCCAAGGAGGCCGATGGTACGTCTTGTGTCCATGAAGTTGTTTCTTGGATCAATTTGATTCATTTCCTGAAAAGTATTCTTTTGATAAATGATTTTAATGATAATAATGAGAATATTTATAACGCGGCTTTTCCAGGCTAGATATCCTGCTCAAGCACACGATCTGATCATTATTACCCCAGATAACCCAAGCTGCCTGTTAGGCGCTAGAAGGTTAATAGTCTCACGACTTATTTCACCGGGTACCCATTTCCTGCTGGGTGAACAGAGGCAATTGTGAACAAACTCACTTGCCTAAGGTGAGACCACATGTATCACATGTGCTTCGTTGTGGGGCAGGACTGTAGTCCTAGAAACTCTCAGGAGTTAAGTTGCCAACACGGTCACCTATCCAAGGGCTGTCCGAGCCCAACGTTGCTTAACTTCAACTGATTTGTGACCTGAGCGCTATGCACAGGACCATGTGCCACCAAGAAAGGATTAATGTCACTCGGTATTCGGCCTGATCTTATACTTTTGAAGATGTGTGAATAATTTTAGAAAGTCTGTTTTTGTCTTGTTACCTCACTGATGTGTGTACTTGTTTCAGTTCCCATCATCGTTGCAATAAACAAGGTGGACAAGCCAGAGGCTGACATTGTAAGTGTAACGTTAGAAGGGATCTCTGTATCAGCAGATTGTAGGGGTGGGTATTGCAGAGAATTTTCATATTGTGATATATTGCGATACAAAAGCATGTATTGCGATATGAATTGCAATATATTGCACAAAGTATTTTTAAACAAAAAACTACTTATAATCGAGTTAATGCTTGATTTATAGAGCAAAAACACAACAAAATGACTATGCTTGATTAAGTTTTAATAACAACTTTTAATCATGATAAAATAAAAATATGAATAATATTTGGCACAAATGAAACAAGGAAATATCCGAAGATTGCAAGTCAAAATACCGGTTTTTGTTCAGCGTATCGCAATACGTATCGTTTTCATGTCTGAACCGGTAAATACCGGTAAACCGGTAATATTGCGCAGCCCTAGCAGATTGTCGGGTTGGCTGGTTTGTTGTGTAGACGTGAGTTTAGTTTTACGCCGCACTCAGCAATACTCCAGCTATATGACGGTGGTCTGTAAATAATCGAGTCTGGACCAGACAATCCAGTGATCAACAGGATGAGCATCGATCTACACAATTGGGAACCGATGACACGTGTCAACCAAGTCAGAGAGCCTGACCACCTGATCCTGTTAGTCGCCTCTTACGACAAGCATGGGTTGCTGAAGACCAATTCTAACCCGTATCGTCATGGGTCCACAGTTTAGGACATCTGTACCCTAAAATATTAAATATTTCTTGTTTTTTCTGCAACATTTTCCATGAAACCAGGGAGATTATATTGATCTGATTGTTACTGTGTGTGACAGGAAAGGGCAAAGAACATGTTGCTGGAGCAGCAGCTGGTCCTGGAGGACTTCCAGGGGGATGTACAGGCCATCCCCATCTCAGCACTGAAGGTAAGTACCTGTGGTGTATAACTAGATCAAACAGAATTTGTGTTTCTTGACATTTTATTCCCACTGGAAATGCACAATGAACATTGTTACATTTCGACTCCCAAGTTGAAACACAAAGTTAGCCTGAAATCTGCATGTAAATGAATTTTGTAGGACTATAAAAGACAAAGAAATGTGATATAATTAGCAATTGAAAAATTAACAAGTTTACAAATCAGCGTAATATAAAAGCAGTGATTATAACAATAAACATAGTGAGGATAATATTCATCCCTGCATCAGTGGTCCAACATATAAAATAGGGCCCTCTACTGAATCTAAACAGAAACAGTGTAATTCAGTAACCACGTTCAAGGAATTTGTATGATTCTGAGATGAGTTATTGAATGATTGAAGGTAGTTTATGAGTTGGAAAGGTCTAATGATCATGGTCTTGATAATTTAGAGAACAAACTTGGACTTGCTGCAAGAAGCTATTGTAACACAAGCTGAAGTTATGGAGTTGAAGGCTGACCCAAAGGGGCTTGTGGAAGGGAGTGTCATCGAAGCCATGACGGATCCAGGCAGAGGGTGAGTGATCTGGGCCCCATTCCACAAAGCGATCGTAGCGCTAAGATGATCATATGTCCCAAACTTTAACATAGACTTACGACTGTCATAGCACTACGGTCGCTTTGATGAACGGGGCCCTGGAGTCTGGTTGTGGGGAGGGGCCATTTAGTTATGGATCTGAAGAAGTGAGGTCGTTGAAGCCATGATGCATCACAAAACCATGACAGAAAGTGTAGCAAGTGAGTGAGCGAGTTTAGTTTTACGCTGCTTTTAGCAGTATTCCAGCAATATCAGGACAGGGGGACACCAGAAATGGGCTTCACACATTGTAACCATGTGGGAAATCGAACCCAGGGTCTTTGGCGTGACAAGCAAACGCTTTAACCACTAGGCTACCCACCTCCTAGAAGGTGTAGAGTATGGGGTTGACACTATAGGTCGTATGTGAGGAGTCTACTTCAAGGTAATGTGAAGGAAGAACTTCACGTGGCATCACAGAAATTTCTGTTTGAAGGATATAAGATATCAAACCAGGTCTTATCTTTTTGCATTTGTAACTTGAACTCTCACAATATTTCCTTTACAGGAAACTTGCCACAGTTGTCATACAGAGGGGGACCCTGAAGAGGGGAGACCTATTGCTGGCTGGTACTACCTGGGCAAAGGTGAGACTGCAACAGACTTTCTGACACTGCTGTCAGCTCATGTCAACCTACTCTACCACTTGCAACTGCGTCATTTAATACATATTTTGAGTGGTGTGAATGTGTGTGTGTGTTTTTCACCTGTAAAGTGGATTGTATCAAGGCATTTTGGAGCTGCCAAAAGTCAGATGGTTGTTTCCAAGTATAATATCCCTCTGTATCAAATCACAATGGTTAAAGTGTGTAAAAGGTCTTACAATAATGTATCCTCTAAAATAGGAAACTTCATAAAAGTGACAAACCTTCCAAATATTATTATTTATACATTATTTTATTATGATATTCCGATTTTCATATTGTTTAATTAAAGATATTTCCAAGACATACACCATCCACACTTACCTAATAAACATTTTGAATGCAGATATTATATGAAATAAAAAGCTGGAAGTGCTATCTAATATACACATAAACTGAAACCTCTTTCCTGTTTAGGTCCGAGGTATGTTTGATGACCAGGGCCGACCCCTGCAGGAAGCGCCGCCTTCTACCCCAGTGCAGATCATTGGTTGGAAGGATCTGCCTTCAGCTGGAGATGAGGTTCTTCAAGTAGAAAGCATGGTGAGTATGCAAGGGGCAGTGGTGAAAGCATGGCATTTTCATCAGGCATTTGGCTGCCTCCTTTTAGATGTTTTCTTTAGAAGAGTCCCTAAACTCTGCTTAATTTGTTGTGTATCTCTGTATGAGTAATTTATCGGTTATCATTGTATGAGTTCACTATCAGGTATTATATCAGGTACTTCTTCTATATGGTTGGCCTTTTGGTTACAGTCGTTAGTTCCTGATTTGGGGAACAGTGTGGGTGTCACAAAGGGATACATGTCTACAGTTTTGCATCCCTTCAGACTCTCTTCTCACATTGAGGTCGGTGGGGTAGCCTAGTGGTTAAAGCGTTCGCTTGTCACATGAAACTTTTCCCATTATGCCAACAAACTTTGAAATAACCCAAATAATGTTTAAAGTGGCACAAATGAGACCACCTCAGTTCATTTCTGGTATAGCACTGTAAGATCAGAGGGCATCACTTTAAAATGGTTTGAAGTATCCTCAACAAAGAAAATATTGTGTGTTGTCAGTTGTAGGGCAGTAGTATCAGTAGTAGCCTTTAGACTCTCTCTTCTTCTGCAGCAAGTCTTGAAGGATGCCCTAGAGTGGAGAATTGAGCAGGAGACTCTGAAGAAGATTGATGAGAACCAGGTTGTGATTGACGAGAAGAGATCTCAGCATGATGTTGTGTACAAGCAGAAGGTTCAGCAGAGGAGGGAGAGTGGACGCAAGTATGGCATGAGCTCCCAGAAACAGAAGGAGGCAGTCATTGGATATGAGGGGCCACAGCTGTCACTTGTCCTTAAGGGTGAGTAACATGGTACATGCGGGGCCACAGCTGTCACTCGTCCTTAAATAGTGTTGCTGTGTTTGAGGGACTCTGTTGCTTTTGATGAATAATGATGTAGCAGCTTTATGTGTTCATCTTTCAAAAATGTGACAACACTTTTGTGTGATTTGGTTTATTTGATGACTGAGTAATTGGGTGTATGTTTCTTTTTACACCCTAAAATACTCAATAAAACTGAATAAGATAAAAAATATAACCAGAGCATGATACTTCATTTAACATGCAAATCAAAATATTTGTATCATGTACGTCATATGAAGGGAAAGATTTCCGCCCGTAACCCCTGTTTTTTATCATTACTATCAGTGAGTTTGCATCCGCTCTGATGCATACTAACCCTAACCTAACCCTAACCTTATATTTTTATGTTCACTACAACACCAATTTACACTTTGACATTTCAAACCGGGAAAGATTTCCGCCTGTAACCACCATATTTTTTTTAATCATTATATGCCTATGTTTTTTTTATAAACAGCCTATGCCTAACCTTAAACCCTAACCCTAAACCTAACCCTAAAATCTAACCCCAAACCCTCGAAATAATCCAAATAAATAGAATACATTACAAGTGGGGGTTACAGGCATAACTCTTGTATTTAATTAGATAAACATACCTTGGCAGTAAGGAAGTATTTAAAATGTTCCACTTGCTGTTGTCTGCCAACATCTTGTCTGTGCTGTGATTGAGGTGCAAGTGAGGGTTAAAAAGCATGCAAAGCTAAGAAGAACAATAGGGTCAGCCATTCAACCAGAACATTTGCCCTGGTCGAAACAAAGGAACTGATAGGTCAGTGACTGACCCAAGCATAACCAAGTTAAAATCTAAAGGTGTACAGCTTGCTCAGCTTGACCTGATCAAGTGAATACTAATGAATTGCGTGACCATGTCACAACTGGTTGGGTTTATTATTCTGAAGGGGTGTATCTTTGTCAGATGATTGGTACTACATGCATTAGACAATGGCAAAGAAGTCAGGGCAGTTTTCTGTGACATAAGCAAGGCTTTTGACAAGGTTTGGCATAAGGGAATCATTGCGAAATTAGAAGCTTATGGTATTAAGGGTAAGTTACTTGATTGATTTTCCAGTTATCTTGACAATAGATTACAAAGAGTAGCTATAGACAATTACAATTCAGATCTAAGGAAAGTCACTGCTGGGGTGCCACAAGGATCTGTCCTTGGGCCATTACTGTTTTTAGTTTACATAAATGATATCATTGAGGGTATCAGTAGTAACATTCGTCTTTTTGCCGATGATACTTCGGTATATGTTATTGTTGATAATCATGTTGTTACTGCCGCTTCCTTAAATAATCACCTTAACAGGATCTCTCACTGGGCTGAAATATGGCAGGTTAGCTTTAATCCTGGTAAGACTGAAGCTGTTTTATTCACTCGCAGAAATACCGGTAATCAATTTCCAATCCCTAAGCTTAAAATGCATGGAGTAGACATTACTGAAGTCGGCTACCATAAACACCTATGAGTAACCTTGCAATCAGACTGTAAATGGAACTCCCACATTGGTGAATTAGTTAAAAAGGTTCGTCCATTGGTAAATTGTCTATGTAGTTTTAAATATAGATTATCTAGAAAATCATAAGAGCAAATGTACATGTCATATATATTACCAATGTTCGATTACTGTTCGCACCTTTGGGATAACTGTACTAAAGAACAAGAAAAACTTGTCATAATTCTACATTTAGACGCACTGCGGACGATTTGCAGGGCAGTTAGAGGAACAAGTCATGATTTAATATATAAGGAAACTAACTCTATGCCCCTAGTTGACCGTAGACAAATTAGCAAGTTATCATTATTTTACAAAATGGTTCATCATATGGCACCAGTTTATTTAACTGATCTACTGCCCGTAAAAGTATCACAGTTAAGTGACCATAGATTAAGAAACAGTAATAACATTCAAACTATAAGATGTCGTAGTGATTTGTATAGCAACTCGTTTTCACCAGATACAATACGACAATGGAATGATTTGCCTGAGAATATGTACGATATTGAAACCATAGGCCAATTTAAAAATGCATTCCAATCATCAAAACCACTCAATTTTAATATATTTGATAAAAACTTTGGTACACGTTTCTGCCAAATTATCCACTCACGCTTCAGACTTGGGTGCAGTAATTTGAAAGCGCGTTTGAACGGCACATTTCAGTTGATCCATTCTGTTCCTGTGGTCACCCCTATGAGGATACTTTACATTACTTCTTTACTTGTCCTAATTATTCTAACATCAGACATCGCATGTTTTTTTACGAACATGGATATAATTTAAATTCTGTCCTAAATGGTAATCCAAACAAAAATGAACTTGTAAATTCTTTCATACTACAATCTGTCCATACTTTTATAATAAAATCGCATAGGTTTGATAAATGATTAATAATGTTTAATACGCAGGTTGCTTGCTTTCCTATCATGTTCCATATTATTTAATATTTGTTTTATTCATGTATCAATGCAATGGAGAGGTATTCAAATAAGCCATTACGGCTTGTTTACCAATCCTAGTTCAATTTATTTTGAATAAAATATGTTTACACTAGATGATTGGTGTAAACGAGTGGACTGATTGTTGTGCCCATGTTGAAAATTTGGAAAGCGACTACTGGGACAGAAATACTGCAGTTGAACATGAAATAGAAAAAGTGTTAATTGAACTGGGTGTAGAGAGTGATAGCGAGAGTGAATCGGATTGTGAAAGTAACTGACATCTGTAAGTTGTAAGGTTAGCAAACCAAACTAGATAGCATATGACTGTATAAACAATTCAGTTAAAACATGAAATGATTGGGTTTTTTTCAGAAGTGTTGTTTTCCAGGACAAATTCTGTAACGAATCTATGTATGCATGCTTCGCATGAACGCAACATGAATAACATTCTCTGCACCCGTATTTCATGAAGATAACCCCATCTGCCGTTTGTGCCATTTGACCTCCCGGGTCATGCATATGTAGAGTAGCTCAGGTCAAGCTGAACACGCTGTAGTATCACCTCTCAATTAAATCCTTCACACCCATACCAAGATAATACCAAATGCTGATATTGATAGTAATACTAAACTATATACAGTATATATTAAGAACTAAAGTACTGTCGGAAATAGAACAAAACCCTGTTTTTAGGCTGTTACTCTGTATCCCCAAAATTTACACAATTGCAAATAGCATATGTCGAAAAAAAACCATATCGGCCTAACTGGGCGTTCAGTGGGATGCGTAATAGGATATCCAGAAAAGCATGTTTACTCGTAAGGTCATGAATAGCTGCTGAAAACAATAGATCAGACCATAGATGGCAATGAGGTCGCTCAGCCAGGTATGACAACTGACCGTCGACTCGCTTGGCATGAAATGCACGTGCTGCCCACAGACACAAGGGGTCATCTTAAATATATTTTATGCTTTTTCATGTGTATTGAATATGTCTCTATTGATTATCTAATCTTAGCTAATATCTCTATCCCCAAGCCCGACCCCAACTACTGTCACCTTTTGAGACGACCCCTCCTACCTGTTTCTTTTTATAGTGACGGTGAGACTCAATGGTATCTACATCCTTAATAGTTTCAGTATTAAAGTTTTTGTTTTTACGCCTGCTATCGTTTATAATGAAGCTAATTCTAATTTCAAAATGGAAATTAAAAAAGTGTCATTTGTTATACAATATCATCGCACACTAATTTGCATAAAGCCATGGTCTGCTCCAAATAAGTCGCTTCAGACTTTGGAAAAACTGCATTGCTCATTTCTGCACAAATATCTCCTCAGTAAAATCCTTCTTTTACATTTCCTATCTCCCTCCAACTGAGACTGTAGTTAGGCCGAACTTAGTTTAAAAGATATTTCACCCTTTCAGATATTTTTTCTATTTCCGACAGTACTTTAAGTACTAATATTGATACTGACACAAATAAAAAATGCTAATATTAATACTAATTACACTGTGTAGTTTATGGTTTATATATGTGACTGCCACAATGATACACTAGGTGTTGGTACTTTGAGGATGAGTTACCATGTGAAAGTTATGATATCATATCAAGGGAATGGATTAGTGATGGGTTGATGGGTGGATAGGTGGAGTGTCTTGAATAAATGGCTCAGCAAAGGTTGGGAATGGATCACAAGTACAAGGGAGATAGGGGTTTTGGGGATGAGATAGGATGCTTTACAGTCCCATACACCATTCCTGTCCATTACCCTACTAAATATGACAATATTGAACTTAAACTGAACTAAATATTTATCAATGTCACATCAACATATTGCAGCTGATGTAGATGGTTCTCTGGAAGCCATACTGGACACACTCGACACCTTCCACTCCAAGAAGTGTCGGTTGGACCTGATCCATTATGGCGTTGGGAATGTGACAGAGACAGATGTGCAGCTGGCTGAAAACTTCGGGGGTAAGTTAAACCAGCTCGGCTTGAACCGAGAAAATGTGGCATCAAACTGGGCAACTTTTGTAGATTGTTCTAGAATTCTGTAATCTTTTACAAATTCATTGGTAAATTGGACCATTTCAGTAAGAGGTTGGACAACACCTGGATATGTCCTGGTTTTCAAACTAATGATACAGGCGGTAAAATGTGAATTTTTAAAATTAAAACTTAAGTTATAACTTTAAGTGTATTTTGATTTTTTAGTTTTTCTTTTAGTTTGGTTATGTTTACTGTCATTGCTGCAGGGGTTAGGCAGGTCTAGATAGGTTCCTGAAACTAAACTGGAAATTATGACACTGCATTTTGCAGGGGAGATATTTTGCTTCAACGTCAAGACACCTCAGTCAGTTGCCAAGGTGGCACGGTCCAAGTCAGTGCCAATCAAGATGCACAATGTCATCTACAACCTGTTTGACAACCTGCTGGACAGTCTTTCTGCAAGACTACCTCATGTAGAAGAGGAGGAGGTTTTAGGTAACACACTGCTGTAACACACTGCTTTTTTCCAAAGGAAACTCCTTAAATATTGACGTTGGTATTGATGTTCAGCAACCCATGCTTGTTATAAGAGGGCACTAATGAGATGGGGTTGTCAGACTTGCTGATGCATGTCATTGTGTCTGGTTTGTGTAGATTGATGCTCATGATGTTAAGCACTGGTTTGTTTGGGCCCAACTGAATTATATTGGAATATTGCTGACTTTATTATCCCCCGCAACGCATTTTGCGGGGGTATTAAAATGGACTCTGTGCGTCCGTGCACATTTGTCTTTTCCGGAGGATAACTTTACAACCGTTCAATATTTCTTCACCAAACTTGGCATATAGATAGATCTGGTGGTCTACTGGTGCCTTTTGGTAGTTTTGGATTTCTGAATAAAATATTTTGAGCGTTTCCATAAACAAGTTTGACTTAGACTGAAATTGGGTAGTGCTCTTCTATGGAGCAGAACCTCTAAAACATTCAATGCAAACACAGTTTGACTGGTGCCTTTTGGTAGAATGGGAATTCTGAATAAAATATTTTTGGTGCTTCCATGGCAACAAGTTTGACCTAGATTGAAATTGGTGGTTGTGCTCTTTTCCGTAGCAGAACCCTAAAACCATTCAATATTTCTTTACCAAAGTTGGCACAGATTGGTCTGGTGGTGTACTGGTGCCTTTTGGTAGTTTTGGATTTCTGAATAAAATATCTTTGCATTTCCATGCCAACAAGTTTGACTTAGACTGAAACTGGTGGTAGTGTTCCTTTCTGGAGCAGAACTATTAAAATCTTTCAATACTCTCCTTGCACTTTTTTATATACACACAAAAACATTTGATATTATCATAACTCGTAGACATATTCATGAAAAGTATTTTGCCATTGCGGGGGATATTGATGACTTTGTCTTCTTGTTAAACAATTAACAATACAAAGTAGATAGAAAACTGTAAGATACTGTAAGGGTAGGTTCAGAGGGTCTCATGGTGGACGTACAAGGAGTGAGTGAGTGAGTTTATTTTTACGTCGCTTTTAGCAATATTCCAGCAATATCACGGCTAGGGACACCAGAAATGGGCTTCACACATTGTACCCATGTGGGGCATTGAATCCAGGCCTTCGGCCTGATGAGCGGACGCTTTAACCACTAGGCTACCCCACCGCCACCTGAAGTACAAGGAACCTGACATGAAAACCATTTAATAAATGTTGAGTATTGGTTTTACTTAGATAACTGTTTTCCTTTAGATGTTGCTTGAAGTGGGCAGTAATGTTGCTTGTGTAGAACCTTTGTTCATCCCATGACTTAAAGGAGGACCAGTGATAGGGAAATTAACATTCCAATTTGATTCTAGTTGTTAAAGAACCTACTGGTTAAGTAATGATTCAAATCATATTATGTGGAGCAGTCAGTCAGTCAGTCAATGATGAGCCTAATTACACAGTGTGGCTATTTTACACATGACATTATTGATTATGTGAACCCATGTCTATTAAATGTATGGAAATACCAGGTAGAGTGCCCTTGCTGAGGCAATGAGTTTAGGTTATGTTCTGAATATGCTCATTGGTTCATCAGCTCCAATACATGGGTTTTTACAATGTGAAGACAGGTCTATAACCCGAGTCATACTAGCTTTCCTCAAACATGAGCATGTCAGAAAGTCGGTTGTCACATCCTTGTCTGATTTTTAAGGAAGGTACTTGTTGTTACCCAGCCTGGTACTTGACATTAAGAGTGAGTGCGTGAGTTTAGTTTAACGCCGCACTAAGCAATATTCCAGCTATATGGCGGCGGTCTGTAAATAATCGAGTCTGGACCAGACAATCCAGTGATCAACAGCATGAGCATCGATCTGCGCAATTGGGAACCGATGACATGTGCCAACCAAGTCAGCGAGCCTGACCACCCGATCCCGTTAGTCCCTTCTTTCGACAAGCATAGTCGCCATTTGTGGCAAGCATGGGTTGCTGAAGACCTATTCTACCCAGGATCTTCACGGGTCCTTGACATTAAGAGTATAAAAGAAGGGAATGTGAGGGTCTGAGTCAGTATAATGTGTCATGGTAACACTGACATGGTATATTAGTAGGCTGACACTGTAAAACAAACACGTCATATTATAAGTACAGTAACCTTACATGTCATAAAACCCGACTCAGCATATCAGAACTTTTCCAGGGGAAGCTGAGGTTAAGAGTGTGTTCGAGGTGACGTCCAGGAAGAAAAAGATACCTGTTGCAGGGTGTCGCTGTATAAAAGGATCTCTCCACAGGAAGCAAGGGTTCAAGGTCCTACGCAGAGATGAAGTAATTTATAATGGTAAGTTATGTTGATAATGTTTCATGTAGTTAGACTTTCATATGTTTCATTCACTTCCTGGTTACTGTGTGGGAAGCTTTTCCTTGACATGCCCATCCTGTTATTGCAAGAGCAGCACATTTAGGAGATAATCCTACTGATTTGAAATTTAAGGTAGTCTAACTGTAGATTAGCTGTCCCTTATTTTAATTTGGAACTAAGAGCTTTAGCTAGTCTTATGACGGATAATAGTGTGCTCCTGACACAGTGTTTTTGCACTTGTCATAATAGTATGTTTTCTGAAACACATTTTGCTGTTGCTCTGATATGGTAAGTACACAGTTCTGATGGGTTGTCGGCAGCCGCTGTTGTATGTATCTATACGGAGGTTATCACATGCTATCAATGTTTTGTGTGAAAGGGCATGTTAATGTTCAGGTATCAAATGGAATTAGAACCTGGAATTAGATTTTCGAAGCTCTCTTTGTTGCTAAGATAAGTGTCCTGAATATTTAACATAATTTGACTCTCTTAGTGCCAAGAATCTTCAAAATCTAGGCCCTGTATTTATATTTTGAAACGTCCATAACCCTAAGAATTCGGAACTTTGATCGTATATTGATAAAATAATTCTAGTGTTAGTTTTTCACTAGGTGTAGTAATAGTCAGATACCATTATATTCGAAAGTCTTTTAATATTGATAAAATAATAGTTACTAGGTGTAGTAATAGTAGATACCATTAATGATAATAATATTAACAGCAACAACAACACAAAAAAAATACTAATTGCAACAACATTATCCTTATTTATTTGTGTCCCACGATCTCACGAATGTGGAAGTTTGTCTCAACCAGGCTTAAATTTTACCCCCATTGAAATCCCAATTTAGACTGACTCAAATGTATTCAGTAATTCAACCCTGTCAACTTTGATCACTGCTTTTCATCACAAGGTCATTTCTTGAGAGCTTACCATGCTGTCATGATGCTTATTCCAGGAGAAATTGCCAGCTTGAAGCACTTCAAGGAGGAGGTAGATAATGTGAAGACCGACATGATGTGTGGGATAAGTCTAGAAGACCTGTCTCTCACCTTCCAGGCTGGCGACATCATTCAGTGTGTGCAGGTCAAACATGTGCAACAAGACATTGATTGGCAACCAGAGTTTTGATGAAACAGCCTATAGACATTTTATTTTATCACACTATTCAGAAATGCATTCTCCAAACATGTGAATATTTGGAATTATGCAATTTATAATTTGTTTGTGTTTCTCTTCATCGTTTCTGTACATACGATGTATTGAGGTGAAAGTTTGCTGACAGCTGTGTTTGTGTGTGTAGGGACAATGGTGTGAATCTGAGAGGATTGCAGCAGTAGAGTAAAAGGTATTTGTACATAAACTGTGGGATTGTCAGCAGATTGTGTATCAGAAAATTCTTCTCCAAGTTTGGTGGAAATCTGATGGTCCCAAATCTTGTTAATATGGAGGATATTCAATGAGTTCAAAGCCACATTCGTGTGTTGCAAAACTTGTTACAACACACTTGTCCACAGGCGCCTTGTCCTGTGGTACAACACACGTTTTGTTAGAATCCACAACATTCAGCCTTGATGTTCTTGCACATTTAGTGCAATGAAAGCATATTAGCTTAATATTGGCCATTAATGGTCTGACATTTTTAGGATGATTCTTTTGGAATCCCACTAATACATAGCTGTCTCCTTGCCAGCTTGGGATGCTGACTTCCTTCTTGATCAGGAAGCTTTCACAGCTCTGATTATTGTTTTGTGTCTGCATGATAGTGATGAATGCATTTATCAAGAAAGATAAGGAACCTGATGCATTTCTGATCAGGACTAAGATGCCCCGAAACCTAGCTTGTTAAACCTGATGTCCAGCTCTTTTCATTCCTCAGAATGTTCTCAACTCTGTTATGAATGATGCCAACTGTCTTGGTCATGTGATGTGTGGTGATTTGTTAATAATCCACAAACATGTTACATTTCATCAACATTTTCCTTAGCAGTCACACATGGAGGTCCTCCTGATCATCTTTAAGGTTCTAACCCATGAAGGTACGGATTAGAATATTAATCTTCAGTAACCCATGCTTGTCGTAAGAGGCGACTAACGGGATCGCTGACTTGGTTGACACGTATCATCGGTTCCCAGTTGCGCAGATCGATGCTCATGCTGTTGATCACTGGATTGTCCGGCCCAAACTCGATTATTTACAGACCGCTGTCATATAGCTGGAATATTGCTGAGTGCAGCGTAAAACTATCCTCACTCACTCTTTAAGGTTCTTATTTTCTCTCTTGAGCTCTGCTGCCAACAGTGGCAAAGGCTGGATCATTATCAACCACAGCTGACATGTCAATGAGGGAGGCTGTTGGAGATGGCCCTTTCTTTTGCGGATACTGGTTTCAGAGTGATAGCTAATGTTGTCCATTTGCATTGACTGAGAATACAGAGCCATACTGATACAGAAATATCCTGCCTGGTTGTATGTTTTGCTTAAATGTGGTCTTGAAGCATGGACAGGGGTAATAAATAGAAACTGTTGTGGATTTACTATACATCCTTCCGATTTAAGCTCAGAATGTTTCAGCGGACCCATGTATGATGTAACATTGTGTTGGTCCATGTAATATAGGCTAGATTGTACTCATTAGTGAGTGCTGTGACATAAACATTGATAATGAAACAATAGTGAATTTGCAATGAACTTTGCAAATGACTTTGTTAAAGATGAATATGTGTGAATATAATGAATGATGATATTTCTTTTCTTTTGAAAAAGCTTTAGTCAGTCTGAGTTAAAAACTTACTAAAGCAGCAGTTTTCCTGTTAGATTCATTGCAAAGTTTCATCATGACTATTTTTTAGCATATGGAGTCATTTCAGATTTTAGTTTATTGATTTAAGAGGAAGAAACAGATTTTGTTATCTTAATATTATACATGTCACTTTTTTATGGATAACAACTACTTTGTTCATTATTGTTTTTCTTCTTTTATTTGTTAATATAACACAACATCTGATGCAACATCAAGATTTATCATGAAATACTGACATTCACAGTAATATCTAAATAACACGAACTGTCTTGTGTCTGTTCTTTACCGCTTCCTTGTACTGATGTCCAAAAGCCTCACAGTGATCGCTTGACGTTGCCTTCTTTGTCAAGAAGTCATTTAGAGAATTACTGTGTTCTCAAAGGCCAACAGTCTTCTGTTTGCATGAGCCAAGGAATGCCATGACAAAATGAAGCAAAAAAAAATAATAGTCTCTTGTACTGTTTTGATGTGACATCATTGTAGACTGAGACATCAGTGATATCAGGTATGGCGTGAATAATGAGAGAACTGTTTTAGTCAAGATCTGCATCTAACTGACGGGAGAACAAGGGTGAACCTACGTTGCCAGGGATGTCTGACTGCCAACTACATGTGGGAGATGGACAAATTTGTCATTTGCAGCTTAATGATAAGGGAAGGATTCTCCCATACTGATCAGACTGACAAATCTAGGCTATCTTGACTATCTATCAGGCTATCTTGAAAGTCAAAGGCAACAAGACAGCTTATGCCATTTAATCAAATAGCCTTGTTCCCATCATGAACCATACCTTATGGTCCACGTACACTGATAGGTAACCTATAATGCAGAATGTGTGTACGAGCTATCACATTATACTTCAAAATGGCTTGATTTGAACCTGTCAGAACAAAGACGATTGAGGCTGATTGGCCGCAAGGTCATCCCGATACACAGACACTGCAACATCTTGCACACGCACCACAGGCCATTATTTTTCAGATGTCACTTGCCCTTCAAGAGGGTGTGGGTACAATCTGTGTCTTTTTCTGACACCTCACAATCAGTCATCTTTTTCTTCACTTTTAGATGTGAGTAAAGCAAGGCGGCAAGCAAGTTATGTGCAGTACCATTCTCGTGAGAGGACTCAAAGTTTCACTTAGAAAGCTGCGTCAAGCATCGCAAGATTGAACTTCTACAAATATTGTGCCAAGACAAACTCACAACCCTTTCTAACATTTGGACAGAGCTTTCAGTGATATACATGTACATGAATCACAACACAGGTGTCTTCATCGCTTCAGTCTGTTCACGGTGACTCAGGCTATCTTGAACTGGAGCAGGAGGAAGAAGTAGGTCATGAACAGTCCACCCAGCTGAAACAGGAAACAAAAAGAGTGAGTGAGTGAGTTTAGTTTTACGCCGCTTTTAGCAATATCCCAGCAATATCACGGCGGGGGACACCAGAAATGGACTTAACACATTGTGCCCATGTGGGGAATCGAACCCGGGTTTTCGGCGTGACGAGCGAACGCCTTAACCACTAGGCTACCCCACCGCCCCCGGAAACAAAAAGAAGTAACAAGGACAACTCGGAACTGAATATTGATGGTATTTCTGCCCTCTGAAAATGTTATTTGTTCATTACTGTGTTCAGTTTGTTGATACAGGAGTAGATGTCGATAAATCGTTGTGTTTGTATAAAACCTTTAAAATGAAGTAACAAGGACTACTCTGAACAATCTGTAAACTTTACATTCACATCGCCAGTGTTTCAGCCATATCGTGACTATCAAAACGATATAAATACCTGTCAAAAAAGAACAGTAAAAGAACTAGAATATACAGATTTATATTTGAAACCAGCAAGGAACTATAAAATGGCGTGCATATACAGGATAGATTATTAAAACGGGCTACAGATAGCCAGCAACTGAAGATATTCTCTCAACAGAATATTGATGCTATTTCTGCTCTCTGAAAATGTCCTTTGTTCATTACTCAGTTCAATTTGTTGTTTCAGGCGGATATTGATAATTCGTTGATGGTGTTTACATGTTCAATAAAATAGATTTTCGTAAGCTCTGACAAACATAACAGCAATAGAACTATTTTTGTGATATCGACTTCATCCACTGATCAGTTATTCCCTCACATGTATACCTTGCGTAGACACATAACAAAATGCTCGTATTGATTAAACCTGCTTTATGACATATGAGAGAGAAAAACCCAAACCACTTAACCACTGACATTTTTTCGAAAACTATTGAAATTTACGGACTATTTATCACCACATTTAGCGGTCTTCCAATTTGACATGCGTTGCCAAGGCTTGCTAGAACCTCTGACTGTTGACATTTGTATGTATTGCTTTGTGAATACCAAAACCATGTTGGTTTCACAAGAGTATACGTCAGAACCAAGTCGTGTCAACGTGACCAGTCACGTTTGTCTATGTGATACCACCTACTGAATACAATTCCTACATGTCTAAGGCCTGCATCAGTCCAGGATTCCACTCACATTCAGCAGAGACTCAGGGATATCAGTAAAATACATGCCAAACGGGTGATAAACCGCACCCGCTCACCATCGGATTTTGTTTAATTTATAAACCTTTGGATATCTGGGCCCCGTTTCACAAAGCTATCGTAGCACTACGACTGTCGTACCTCCTATACTGTAACATGGACTGACGACAGTCGTAGTGCTAAGATAGATTTATGAAACGAGCCCCTGGGTCAGATTAGGCTGATAGTCCATTTGCTGATCAGAAGGATACGTCCACGTTGATAGATTTAGTCCATACTAACTCATTTACATGCTACATGTTACCTTTACGGGATTCGGTCAGAATACTTTCTGATCACAAATAGGCTGGTAAGGTGGACATGGCCTGTGGACTTGACCAAAACATAGCTGAGCTGAATATCAATTATCTTTAAGTCATACTTACAGTCAGGAGGAACTCTTTAGTGATGACAAAGAAGTCAATAGCTGTGAACCCAATGGATGTGCCTGTCAACTTGGACAGAAATAGATTAAGCTGCAAAGAGAGAAGAAACATAATAAACACGGTTGCTCCTAGTGTATTCTTTCAGCTATTGATGATTACGGAACTTTTCAAATTTGTCTCTGCATATAGTCCAAGGTAATTAGATGTAAGAGTGTAGTGTGAAGGAGCCATACGTATGTCCAAAGTTATGATATGTTTTGACTATTTCAGTTAACTGGCACATATTAAAATGTGCTTTTTAATGATATTCTGTTTGGTAAGTATCGTGTTCCTAATGACAGAGGGACATATCTGAAAAAAACAACCAACGAAACATTGTACGATTTCTAATATATTGTTAGCATTTATGAATTATTTTGAAATTGTGGGGTACCAGATGTTCACGAAAAGGTGTTAATATTTTCCCCAAATGGTGGCTTATGTAAAAAACACATGCAAACAAATAAAAGATTCACCAGGACAAACATGGGAATATGCGGCGCAAATCGAAATGCTGATTGGCATCGGCCATTGTTTATCACCATCACAAAAACTCTTGAAAACTTTACTTGAAAGTTGTAACCTAAATTGAAAGGTACCTGTGCCATCTGCTCCACAGTAACATCCTGTGTTCCGATACTGAATATGTCATCCAAAAGGGAATGAGCCTGAAAATAAAATGTCACGTGAAAGAACAACTTCATACTCTAAATAATATAAAGACAACAACAGTTTATTGCATTATGCTAGAAAATCTTCCAAACCTGCCAGCTCATTCTGGTGCATAGCGGAATCAACAATCTATCTCTCTTGAGACCCACCTTATTAATAATAATAATACTAGTAGTAGATTTGTATTGCGCTTTTCCATACTTGGATATTATGCTCAAAGCGCAGTGAGATTTGATTGGCTCATTAAATCCCATTGGTCGATATACATTATATTCACAGGGTAGTGAAATACACATGGACGTCTAATGCTCTGCATTTCTTTGGGTTAAAACATCCTACTACGAATTCTTGCACCTTGACACTGATGGTCTCTCGTCACCTGAACTACCTTTCTGGCCTTATATTGTTTCTCAGTTTCATGTTAGTTTAAAAGGATCAAAATCACATGTTTACGCTTTCCTCAATAGAAAATATTTCACCGAATATATCCACAATTCTTTACACATATGTCAAGTTTAGGTCTAATTGTCATAACTTATTTTCGCCGGGAATAGCTGCAGCGTTGCTGATGCGACGTTAAGCAATACTAGTATTTACTCATATCTTAATTGATTAAAATTGAACTTAATTAAGTATTTTATACCATTGGATATATTCTGTATAAGCCATGCGTGAACATGTTCAGGTTATGTCCTCGAAAAATGTGGAATAATAACAAATATAAGAATATATTCAGTTTTGAAACTGCTCATAAACGATGGCAATCAACGGATAATTCTGCTCTGTGATGATCTTTGACTGGTCATTAGAAATCTGATAGGACACGTTTCGTCCCTATATTGATGAAATTCAGAGAGTTGACTGTTCAAAGTTATTCATCACAAATCAGCCTCAGAAGCTTGAGAGAGTATTGCGTATTGCACTCAGCAATATCAAACTACAACATGGTGACCACACACAAATCCCATTTAATCGTCTTTTGGGATCATTGATCACAAGGAACCTAGTCTAAATTGTAAATCTGCGCAAACTACAGATGTGTAAGATACTTAACACGGTCTTCAGAATATGGAACCACGTGGAAAAAGATGGCCATGATTGGCAGTTGGTGTTGACTCTTCACACCTACCAGCACCTGATGGTGTTGACAAAGCAAGAAATAAAATCAGGGCGAATGTTAAACTATACCAACTATTTTCCTGCTTGCGACGAAACACACTGAAATTCATCACCATAGTAGACTAGGAACCCACACCCCATCCCATCCCAAACACTCTCCACACATCCACTGGAACCAGATACAACCCACCTATCCAAATCCACCCATCTATCAAATCATAAAACGGCTGGCCCCCTCAATGCTTAATATGATATATCACTTACTGCATCGTGAACATCAGCGCTGCACATTGCTGACACAAGGATACACACAACACCACCTCCGAGCCAGAATACATCAACTGCGATGACAAATATGTCCGATGATCCGTTGATAATTTGATACGCGGCAAAACAGGCCAGAAACATGTCAAGAATGAAACGGATTCCAAGAAGCCATTTTAAGCTTCTATTTACGATATCCACAGCCTGGCACAGTTGCGTGTAGCGAAATCTTAGTTCTGGCAGTTGATCGGGGAAGTGTCCATCAGCTTCTTCAATCTGCTTTGATAAGGCTTTTCCTAAATGTAAGAACTCTGCTCGTATGATTCGAGCAATTATGCTGATAAAACACACCGGGAAAAGCCAGGCTCCCGACTGAAACACGTGCAGGACCATGTTGAAGATGATCACCCATTTGGATTCTGGGAATGGTCGGGTTAAAGTTTGGATGTAAACAGGTGAGACTGGTAAGTCGCCAAACATGAGGACGTAGACAGCAGCGATGTTAACAAGACTAAGCAACCAGCCAGCAGCTGTACCAAGTCTCACACACTGACACTGTAGAGGAAACATATAACAAGAGCCCATGTTACCTTTTGAGGAAGACAGGGAATCCCAATGCTTGTAGAAAGAACGAAGGTGTGTAAGCTTCTGGCATGCAGCGATTATAATGGTAGCGTTAAGGGCACAATGCAACATCCATGCCGTTGTAATTATCCGAAGTGGCAAACTCCCGTCATTAGGGAACACCCCAACTGCACATCGGCCAAAGTTGAACCATAGTAAAAGGAGAACGGTATAACAGTACAGACGATTGATGGAGCGCCACCATCCTGGTGGGTTGGTCTTGGTCGCATATGTTTCCGATGGTTCCACTTTGTTTTTCGCTTGTGTTGGATCGAAGTAAATCCCCAATATTTTCATTGACACTAAAAGCGGTTTCAGTTTGTCTTCAATGGAAGGGAAAGGAGTCTTTCCCATTGTGTGACTACCGGCGATGCCAAGACCAGATTGAGTAATGGTTTCCACTTTCATCGTTGACTTGTAGAGACTACACAACCAGTTATGTTCTGATATGCGACTCTCCCATGCAATCCGTATTCACTTCATCAATGCCATTGAGCTTCCCAACCTGCAAGCGTTATTGACATCAGTAGAATACGCCTCCAATACAGTCGCGTCACGTTTATTATGTTTTAGTTTACTTTTTATCTAAACCTGATTAGTCGGTAGTTTTCTATTTCTATCTATTGGCAAATGGAGACAGTCATGGTTTCCCAACACAGCCAAAGAGGCCCAGAAATACGACTAAGTGTAAAGCAAATCGAAGCCCGGCAGCAATATATTCTGGTGATTAATGCAATCAACATCGATCTCCTTTGAGATAATATTGACCATTCTTGTTCGCACATTAAATCTATTAATGTTTTAGAACATTGTGTTTTGGGATAAATGATGTTTAAAAAGAAGATGTAAACGACCGTTTCATCAATTATTCGGTACACTGATAATCTCATTTGGCTTTTTAGTAATGGATAATAGGTGTTCGTCCCTTCAGTGTATGTGAACATATTTGTCTTACCTTACACATTAATGTAGGAATCTAATTAGAAGAAACTGACTGTATTATTATCCACCACCACGACATGGGTTGAGGGATATGGAAATACTGGAACGGAGTTCATCTGTTTGCCGAGGCGGTAGGGTAGACTAGTGGTTAAAGCATTCACTCGTCACTCCGAAGGCCCGGGTTCGATTCCCCACATGGGTACAATGTGTGAAGCCCATTTCTGGTGTCCCCCGCCGTGATATTGCTGGAATATTGCTAAAAGCGGTGTGAAACCAAAGTCACTCACTCACTCATCTGTTCGTCCGAGGGGGTGGGAGAGCAAAGTTTTCTAAAAAAGCTATGTTGAGAAAACTGATGTTACTGGCCACTTCTCAAACTTTTGTTACGGATATACTTCATGCTTTTACACTTAGTGCAAACTGTGTGAAACTGGAATAGATCTACTCAGAAACTGCTGAATTTACATGAAGTTATTCAAGAATGTGTCATAAATGTTCTACCCCTAACACACAGAGATTGGGCTGGGCCTCTTATACGTATTTAAAATCAAATTTCCGATGACATAAAGAGTCTCCCTTATGTCCATTACTCTTGAACCATATTTACTTCCAAGTTTTATTCGTTTGTTGCCTCACTCAGTAATATTCCAGCTATATGGCGGCAGTCTATTTAATCGAGTCTGAACCAGACAATCCCGTGATTGATATCATGAGCATCGACCTATGCAATGGGGACAAGATGACATATGTCAACCAAGTCACCGAGTCTGACCACCCGTTACAACAAGCATGGGTTGCTGAAGACAATTTCTAACCCGAATCTTCACGCGTCCCGAGAATCTGATCTCACAGCTGTCAAATTGCTACGAACACCAGCTAAAGAGGTTCTTTATCCCACAAGAACCACCTGAAAGAAGTCTAAAGACATACTGACGTCCATGACTTTGTGCAGTGTTGAGTGGTGGCAAACCGTTTATTGAGGTTTTGACACTGTGGCTTGATCTCTACAGTTGGGCTCGTAACGCCAGTGTCACACTGACAAGTATAAAAAGTGTAGGTTCGAATCCAGAATGGGACTCAACCTAACAAAAGTACAAGAATCTGTACTTTTCTGGGAAAGTGTAATCATAAATATAACATATGTTGCATTTGACCACATTTGACTATGTATTCATAGGTTCGTGGGAACTGTGCCAATTTACACTTGCATGAGGGTTGCACGAAGTACGTGATTCAGACAACCAGTTGTTAGACTTCCATTTCTGTGGAAGCCGGCAGTCGCTGAGTTGGCTAGATCGCTGACTTAGAGTGCTGGCGATTACGTGCCTCACTCTGCTAGTGTAAGTTCGAATCCCGAATGGGACTCAAAGGGACAAAAATACTAGAATCTGTACTTTACTGAGAAAGTGTAATCCCAAATATAACATATGCTACGATAAATTCAGCTTGCGTATGCAACTGACCCCCTGACCAGGAATTGAGATCGTCAGTCGTGACCGCACAGTCACCCCGTTGTTATGCCTTCTTAACAGCAGTCATCTTCCAAACCAACATCTACTTTCAAGCAGCACAAATGTGCATTTGCTTCGACTTCAACAGCTCACTGAGTACACGTCGAATATCCAAGTATGCACGTTTGGACACAAATATGCACGTTTGTGTCACAACTATCTCAACAAACAATAAACAATTTCCCAAACTGATTGAAACAAAAAGAATAATGTTTTTGACGTGTCTGATACATTTGCAGCTGTCAGAATATCCTGTGTATAAGGAGCCAAGGTTGGTTTCTATTCTTGATTTAGCTTAGGTTATTCTGGAAGTTATACTAAAGTTCGAAGTTCGATAAAGACACACGTTTAGGTACCATGGCATGACCCTATCTTACATCACCTCTGCAAGAATTTAGAATATCCCCCATTATTTTATTCACCACGTATCATAGACAGAATGTTCATCCATTCGTACTGTAGTGCTTGGCCATCAGAATGGTCCAGTCATGCACGTTAATGTTATATTAAAATGCATGGAATAGTACGAAGATATATGTGTCATTCTTTCTGACAGAAATAGTATGTTTCGACCCTAAGGGTGTATGTTTTTTAATCCTACATTGAACTTTGAAACTGGTCCCTAACGGTGCCCGGTTCATAGACACAGAAAGCGATGTTTGTTAGTTTTGTAGTTGCTGGACAGAACAAATATATTATATCTGTACAGACAGACAGACAGACAGACAGGTTTTTGGACAATATTCAGTAATGTAGGCACAGTGGCCCATAGTACAGTTGAATTTTCATTTTAACAAATATTGGTCACGTGACACGAAATTATGGTTTTACATGTGATTTAAGGATGGACATCAAATGTTTTATGAAAATGGCAGCTGATTTAATAGTGTCATCGTTATTAGAATTAAGTATTTTATATATCGTTTGTGGGGCATCATTAAAGCATTTTAGATACTTCTTTCGGCCAGCAGAGAATGCCTCACAGTCTAATAATAAGTGACGTTCGTCTTCAGTTTTACCAGAAGAACAATGAGAACATGATAAATCTTCCAATGTATTTTTATCTTTTCTATAACGCTGTATTTTTAAGGCATGTAGAGAGATTCTAAATTTACAAAAATTTCTTAAAAGGGACTTATCATTAAGGACCCTAATATATTTTTCAGGTCCGAACATCGATTTACATTGTGAATAATGACTTAGAAAACTCGATGAATTTACTGATGCGTGCCAATTCTGAATATATATATCTTTTATTCGTTGCTTAAAAGTTAACAAAAACATTTTTATATCACCAACATCTTGCTTAAACCAAACATAAGAAAACCCGCTTGAAAATAACACATTTCGGGACACCAGAAGCCCAAGAATACTTTCCACGTTTGTCTAGGGATAATAATAATTGATAGCTTTGATAGGGGTAGCGATAATCAGGCATTCTTATAAGTTTAATCCAGTATCTGATAGCTCTCATTTGACTCTCAATATGCATGCTATAGCGGCCTGTATCGCCAAGTACGGCTTTGTTGGAAGCAAATTTACCTACAGTAAGAAATCTTTTAAAATATGATGCATGCACATTTTCTATAGCTTCGAAATAGTTTACTCCCCAAATTTCAGATCCATATAACAATATTGGTGCTATTTTAGTGTCAAAAAGTAAGCAAGCTGAGTCAAATGAAATAAACTTATTAGCCTTAAACAGTTTAAAAATAGGAAATAATGCCTTCTTAGCTTGTGCTGCAAGGGTTTTAGATGCCATGGACCAATTTAATCGGCTGGAAAATAGAAGACCCAAATATTTATAATATGAAACAACATTAATACTTTTGCCACGGAATAACCATTTTTCAGAATGTGCCACTATACCCCCATTTCTAAAGACAACTATGTTAGATTTTTCCATATTCAACTCTAGTCCCCATGTGTCACAAAATGTTTGAAGAATATTTATCTGTCTCTGCAGTCCGTTTACCATGAATGAAAACGTAACAATATCATCTGCAAAGAGAAGCAAAAGTAAATCTTTGATTTGGGGAGTAACAAATATTCCATTATTACACGATTTATACATATCATCTACAAGTTCATTAATAAAGAAGATGAAGAGTACGGGGCTTATTACACAGCCTTGTCGCACACCAACGGAAGTGTTAAACGATTCAGTGTTGCCA